GGCTAAGCATGCCGCCGGCCGACGCTTCGTGGGCGCAGCAGGTTCCGGGTATCGAGCTCGATGCCGATGCTGCGACGGCAACGAGGTGGGCGCGAGGCGAGGACCGCGTCGACGCGAATGGACAGCTCCACCCTCGCCAGCTACGCGCGCCGCGCGCGCGTGCGCCCGGCGCGGGCGGCGCCGCGCCCGGCGCGGGCGGCGGCGGCGCCGGGGCTGCGAGCGACTCGGAGACCGAGGACGCAGACCCGGCTGTGGCGATGGACGCGTCCGGCGTCAAGCTGAGTACGATCGACACCGTGTCGGACGCCAAGGTGCTTGCCTTCCTCGGAGAGTACGGGGTGGAGGTCTACGCCAACTGGTCGTCAGAGACGAGCCGCGGTGTCGCTCGTCGGCTCCTCGAGCAGTATCCGGATGGCGAGGTGCCCATGCTCAAGCCGAAACACCCGGCCCTACACCGGCACTCGCGCACGAGAACCAACCTCAAACTCGTGCCGGGCGCCCCGCGAGGTTGTTCGGTAGTGTACGACGCGGTCCAGGACCTCAAGCAGTCAGGCTTGTTGCTCGATGCGGCGACGCGTGACAAGTTCCTCCCCTTTGAGAACACGCAAGCTCGAGGCTACCGGCTGTACGACTCCACTTCTGGCATGTCGCGCGCAACTCGCGTCGGCAACTTCTCGCACGCGCACTCGAAGCAGGCCACCCTGTGTACCTCTCTGCATGTGTGTCCCTATAGTGCTCCCTGTCTCACCACTTTGTTCGCGCAAGCCGTAGGTGACGGTGCAGCAAGCCACGTACGAGTCAGCCCCGGGGCAGCTCGACAAGGCCTACGTGTTCCGCATGACTGTTCACGCCTCGATGCGCTCCATGGACCACACCGTCATGCTCGCCGTCCGCAAGCCGGCTGATGGCGGACCGGCCGTCTTGCTGCTTGCTCCCGACTCTGTCTGCTCCTGCGAGCAGGGTCTCGAGTGCTCGCACATGTACTGCCTGCTGCTGGTCCTGTACTGCATGCAGGACTGCTCGAGCTGGGACGACTTTAGCAGCAAGGTGCTCTTCTACGACAAGGCTCGCGCGCCGTCGGGCAAGGCTGTGTGGTGGGTCGACAGGTACCCTCACGCGCCGAGCAAGCGCACCTCGCTCGACCGGCTGTCAATGGATGCGAAGGTGACGGCGCCGCTGGCGGCGGCGCCTGCAGCGGCCTCGGACGCTGCCAGTCATGTCAGCGGCGCCGACCAGAACTACCAGCGCTCGGACTTTCACCTCGGCATACTCCGCGAGCTGTGCGCTACATTCCGAGGCGGCTCGTTGGCGCTGCTGCTGGGAGCCGAGTACGGCGATCTGTTCGCTCCGCCCCCGCCAGGCGGCCTCCCACCCACGCCGCCGGGCAGCGACGACGAGGCTGACGGCGAGGAGAGCGGCGGTGGGCTAGACGCGCTCGCTGCTGCAGCGGCGGCGCAAGCCCAAGCTGAGGCGGACGAGGCAGCGGAGGAAGCTGCGGCCGCAGAGGCGGAGGCTGCAGCCGAGGTGGAGGCGGAGGCGGAGGCGCCGCCGGCGCCGGCGGCAGCGGGTCCGTCCGGTGTCTCGAGCCCACGGCCGGTGCCCCGTCCACCCCGCTCATTCGAGTCGCCACCGCAGCTGGGCACGCCCTCGAACGCGGTTCCAACTCCTCGCAGCATCGACACACTCAATCGGAGCCAGGGCAAGAGCAAGCAGCGGCGCAAGTCGCGAGGAGGACGGGAGCGGGGTGGACGTGGCGGACGTGGCGGACGTGGCCCAGTCGCCCAACTAGACATGACTAATGAGTAAAAAAGGGAGTCACAAAATGAGAAACACATACACCTCACACACCCGACGGCGGCTTGAGCACTGCGCAGTTGAGGTTGTGGAAGCCGATGGTCCACCACCACACGTAGTTGAGCAGGGGCTTGTCCTCCTCCTTCACGACGTCGCCGAGCATCTTCCACGCCTTCATGCCAGAGAAGGGCACCTCCACCACGTAGCGGCAGCACGTCACGCCACGGTTGCGGATGCCCTGGTCGATGGTGAAGCGCGGCGCCTTTCTGAGGAAGCAAGGAATTATCACCTCGTTGAGGTGCGGCAGGTGGACGCGCAGCTTCGAGACACCCTTGTCGTACATGACTGAGAACTTCGCCGGCATGCGCTCAAAGGCCGGGATGCACGCCTTGCACGCCTCGTGCTCGGAGGAGCGGCCCATGAAAAGGTCGGTCGCGATGATGATCTGGCCATTCGGCGTGCACCACGTGAGCCCCATCGCCGCCGAGTGCTTAGACTTGTCCGAACGGAGGAGGTTGGACGTCATGATGCTCTCGCGTGAGGTCTCGGTCATGATGTCGGTGCAGTCTCCGATGGCAACCACGGTGTCGAGGCCGCACTCCTTGAAGGACTTGGGCAGCAGGTCGAGCACCGTCTGGTAGTCCTTGGGCTCGATGACCAGGTTCTTCTTCGCAAAGCGGCCGAGGCGACGGATCCACCGCGAAGAGTCTACGCTCATTCGCGGGGCAAGGAGGCCAAAGAAAGAGGCGAGCTCGTCGATATCTTTATATCCCCGCATTCGCCACAGGGCCGCTAGGAACTGGAAGCGCGGGTGCAGCGCCGCCTGCCGCTCCTCCCTCGCTCGCCGCACGCCATCCGTCCTCTCGACCCACCGGTACACCATCTCGTACACCTTCATGGCCTCGTCCCACGAGTCGAAGCCAAACATCTTCTTGAACAGCCTCGAGCGCTCTGGAAGAGCAAAGTACTCGGGTCGCAAGTTGGCAAAGCTGAGCTGCTCTCGCAGAGGCCATGCGCGAGGAGGGTTGAGCGGGTTTGCATCGGCAGAGTACTCGAGCCCGGCTTGCGACGCACGAGAGACGACGTACTCACGGAGATGCTTCGAAGATTTTCCACCCTTGTCGGGCATCTCCACCGGTGGCGGCTCCTCAATCGTCAGTTTGACATCGGCGTGCATAAACCCGCCAGGCACAGTCGAGGGCGGAGGGATGACCATCAAGGTCGTCGCCATCGAGTGCGGGACCTGTCCAGCTGGCACCTCAAAGATGATTGGCTGCTGCGGTGGCTGCCAATCCTTGGGCACAGGCACCCGCAGTCGCACGGTCTTTGAGGACACGGTCGGGGCGGGAGGTGGTCCTGCAGGTGCGCTCGAGTCTGGCCCAGCACCCTCGCCCTCACCCTCACCCTCCTCCTCCGCCGCCGCCTTGAGCTCGCGCGTCTGGCGCTGCAGGCGCTTCACCTCGGTCCTCAACTTCTTGACGCGTTCGGAGCGCTCTACGGTGTTGGCGACAAGCCTACGCAGGCGGGAGAGACGCCACACCTCCTCATCCCCGTCGAGGTCGCGCGTGGAGTCATCACTGTCGGCTGTGGCACGCCACCGTCTGAGAGGAGCAGAGCCAGGCGGCCGCCTCGGCTGCACAGCAGGCGGCTGAGCGGGACCCGTGACTGTCGCGTCGACAAAGAACTCGTCGCCCTCAAGCAGCACCTTTGCCCCAATGATTCGCTCCGCGGGTAGCTCGGGCCGGTGCGTACCGCACAGCTTGTTCTGTTTCTGGGGCAGCGGACGTGGATTCCCGTCTTTTGTGAAGCTGAGGCCCATCTCGTGCTCCATGATGTACGCGGCATCCTCCACACGGGAAGCAGGGATGCTCTCAAGGCCTACGGTGCACTCGCAACCGGCCACCCAGCACTTGTCTTGGCCGGGCTTCAAACTCTGGCGCCGCTTCCTCCCGGCGTCGCCAAGGGCTCGGCGGGCTGCCTGAGCGTAGGAATAGGTGAGACTCGGCTCGTTGGCGTCATCACCGTCGAGGCCGATCCCTTCGGCGGCTGCGGCGGCGGCACCGGCCTGGAGAAGGCCCTGCATGGAGAGCAGCCGAGATCTCGCTGGCTTTCAGCGCGCCGTGATGCGGGTGGGTTCGCGCGAAACGTTCAAAGGACGGACGTCGCTTCTTTTTTGCGTCTCCCAGTGATCATTCCCCACGAGTACGCGAGTAGCAAACATTCATAAAAAGACAAAATCTGCGTGCAAGGACCAAACACACATAACACAGCCACGACACACGCCCGAACGAGGGTGTGCAACGCCTCACGCGGCCGCCACGCGCGGCGGCGCGCGCGCCGAGCCGCAAGCAACCCGGCGCGTGACACCAGTGTCTCCCGTCGTCAACACGGGACATTGTCACCGCCGCGGGAACGTAGTCGCCACGGGTGTGCAACTACGAGACGCGGCCGTCCGGGCCGCAGCTTGCCTGGTGAGGAGTGATCTGTCGCTGCGCAGCTCAAGCCGCCGAGGCGACCCTGTTGCTCGCAACACTCTCGCTGGGGAAGTCGGTCGAGTCGCCGACGAGCGCGGATGATAGGACAACACTTTCAGGCGTCGAGCCTGGGAACGTCTGCCCCACCTGAGCAGTGCGCGACATCGACGTGTCTGTGGCAGGGTGCGCGTGTGCGGCGGGCAATAGGTGTGCGTGCGCGCAAGCGGCGCACCCTGGTGAGGAAGTCAAGCGGGTCGTACGGGAGCGAGCCGTGCCACACACGCTTGTCACTGTACAAGCGGGTCGTACGGGAGCGGAGCGGCTCGTTGCACCGCAGCTCGAGCGCCTCGACGTCTGCCGAGAGCTGCACATCTTGCATCGTCTCGCGGTCGCCGAGAGTTGGCGGGCGCCTCGCGGCGTCACCAGCCGCGGTGCTGACCAGTGTCGACCTCCGTCCCGCCTAGTACAGTCACGAGAGGTGGTGCGGCAGCAAGCCAGTCTCTGGCGTGGGCAGCGCGGCGAGCGCCGGGCGGCTTCAGGCCTGCTCTCGTCGAGGTGGCACCGTGCTCGCGGCGCCAGAGCCCGGGCCCATCCTCTTGGTAGCCGCCGTGGCCGGCAAAAGCTCGTACATGGCCAGGGCGGTGGCCCAAGCGCTGCAGCGCGAAGCGAAGTGTTCTGCCACAGGCTGGCTCGCTTGAAACGCACTGAAAACACCCAAACCCGAACACCCTCATGGTGGGCGACGCCGAGGCGGACGAGGAGGAGTCGCAGGTGGCCACGAACCTGGCCAAGGCGGCGGCGCTCAAGGAGGAGGGCAACGAGGCCTTCAAGCGCGGCGACTACAAGGCCGCGATGATCGCGTATCATCAAATCTACATGTACGTGCACGGCTTCTCTGAGACATCCGGTGGCGCTGGCGCGTCAAGCTCGCCGGCCGGTCTGCCTTGGAGCCCACGCAAGTCGGTCACCGAGGCCGAGACGGCGCAGCTTCGCTCGCTCAAGGTCGCGCACTTCTCGAACCTCGCGGCGTGCCACCTGAAGCTGGGCGCCGTGCCAAAGGCGCGAGACTGCTGCTCCAAGGCCCTCGCCCTGGATCCGGGCCACCTGAAGGCGCGCTTCCGCCGCGGCAAGTGCCTCGCGGCGCTCGGTGCGCTCGACGACGCGCGGGACGACCTCGAGACGGTTGCTGCGCCCTCCTACCCTCCTACCCTCCACCGCCCACATCGGAAGTGTCTCGGAAGTGTCTAGGAAGTGTGCTGCGCGCCCACCCTCCTACCCTCCACCACCGCCCACCCCTGCGACGCCTCTTCTCCCTCCCCGCCTCTCTCCTCTCCTGCCGCCTCTCTCTGCTCTCTGTGTCGCGAGAAAGCGAAGCGGAGCCCTCCCCCTAAAGGTCCTGCGCGCCGACCCCGAGAATCGCGAGGCGCACCGGGAGCTGCGCGAGCTCAAGATGAGGCTGGCGGCGCAGCGGCGGCGCGAGGCCAAGAAGTTTGCGGGCTTCTTCGACCGCCTCGTGGGCGAAGCAGCGGACGGCGGGACGCCCGAAGACAGCCCTGACGGCGGCGACCAGAGCGGGTCGGCCGAGCAGTCGCTGCCGCGAGAGGAAGAGGCGGAGATTGGCCGAGATTGGCCGAGATTGGCCGAGATTGCGCGAGATGATCCGAGATCGGCCGCGAGCGGAGGCGGAGACGCCGCCCGCTCGCCGGCCGACTTTCTTTTTTCGCCCACCCTCTTTTTGTTTTCTCAGGCGGAGGCGCCGCCAGACGCGCCCACGCCCGCGCCCGCCGAAGCGGCGGCAGCGGCGGCAGCGGCAGCTGCGGCGGCAGCGCCGGCGGCAGAGGCGGCGACGGAGGGAGAGGCGGCGACGGCGGCAGAGGCGGCGACGGAGGCAGAGGCGGCGACGGAGGGAGAGGCGGAGGCGGAGGGAGAGGCGGCGGCGGAGGCGGAGGCGGAGGAGGAGGCGGAGGAGAAGGCGGAGGCGGAGGCGCCAGTCGAGGCACCGGTCGCGCCGGCGGCCGCGCCGCCGCCCGCCGCCAACATCGAAGGAGGCCTCTCTGAAAGTGAGGTGGAGAGGCGGCGGGTGGCGGCGGGCAAGCTGAGAGGCTGTGTTCGAAGTCGTCCGTGAGGACATGTCCGGGACACGTCCACGACATGTCCGAGACGTGTGGCCGTAGGCCTCGGCCGCTGCCCCCATACCTCCAGAGTACCGAATCCAGTGTGGGTTCAGGTCCTTGGGTGGTGCGGTAGGCCTCTCACGCTCGCAGCTGCTCGAGATCATCGAAGCGCAGGCGCGCGCATCCCCTACCCCCACGGTACCCGAACCCATCCTCCCCTACCCCACGGTACCCGAACCCACCCTCCCTACCCCACGGTACCCGAACCTACCCTCCCTACCCCACGGTACCCGAACCTACCCTCCCTACACGGTACCCGAACCCACCCTCCCTACCCCACGGTACCCGAACCCACCGCGATGCCCTTCTCCCTGGGAAGCGCACACTCCATTGTGTCTTGCCCCAGCTGCACTCCGTCGTCTGTGGCGGCGCGGTGTGTCGCACTGACCGACAGACCGACGGACCGGCGGGCGCGAGATGTAGTCGAGATGCAGCCGAGATGCAGCCGAGACCCAGCCGAGACCCAGCCGAGACCCAGCCGAGATGCAGCCGAGATACTGACAGGCGGGCGCGAGCGACGCCGCGCTGCGCGTGGCCGAAGCGGCGATCCCGGCGGCGGTTGCGGCGGCGAGGGCGGCGGCGTCGGCGTCGTTTGCGCCGGGAGCGGATGCGGCGGCGGCGGCGGCTGCGAAGGCGGCGACGGCGCGGGCGGCGGCGGCGCGGGCGGCGGCGGCGCGGGCGGCGGCGGCTCGGGCGGCGGCGGCGCGGGCGGCGACGCTTCCGGCTGCTGAGGCTGGGGCGGTGAGAGTGGTGGCAGAGGCGACGGAAGGGCCTCTCGGGGACATTGGGGAGCGGCTTGGGCCGCCGCAGGCCATCCTC